AAGGGTCTAAGGCTAAAACGAATTATATGGCCATGATATCGGACACTAGTAATGTCTCATATCCGAATTTTGAATCAATTTTACTACTATTTTTTTTGTGAAATGACCACCTCAACCCAAAATTTAAATTGTTAGTGAGATATATCATTTAATAGTTAAATATCCAATACGATCTTTCAAGTGCAGACGAATTACAATTTAAGCCTTATACTTGGAATATTTGAAACGGGTGGCAGTGAAATTCAAACTCATGACATTTTAACATTTAAACTGACTCTGATATCATATTTAATTTTCAGAATATTTCTAATATCATAATTAATTAACCATTCTTTCCTAATTTTGTCTTTTTTGACTTTGAGCCATTTGATCCAAAAATTGAACCGAAATTGTTACGAGAACGAAGAAACAAAGCAACCATATATGAGATAGTAAATGACAATCTTACGCACCAAGAAACGACTTGGAGTAGTAACTAACAATTGGGCATAATTCCAATAAATAAATAAATAAATAAATAAATAAATAAATAAATAAAAAAAAAAAAAAAAAAAAAAAAGAGATATGTAGTTTTTGTACATTCATTCAATGGGTGAAGTTTGGGAATTCGTGATTCCCATGATGAACAAATTTCAACCGAGTACATATGTCCGTAGTTGAAAAACATTTCGAGCTGAAAGGCGTGAAATCGACATCAATGCCTCAACTTATATGTAACTAAATTGGAGGGTGGAGATTTCAAATCCATTATCAAATCCCTCCATCTAAACAAGTACAAATGATTTGTTTTTATGAATTTCAAATTCTTCCATCCAAATAAAGGCTCAATGGATTCCTTAGTATGGATTTGAAAAATTGCTCCCTCAATTCTATCATCCAAATGCATCCTGAATGGATTTATTCTTATGGATTTGAAATTAGTCCCTCGAATTCTTCCATCCAAATGCATCATTAGGGTGTATTTGAATTCAGTGATTTAGAACGAATAAATTTGAAAATGGCTCTAAATGAAAATGATTTGGAAAACAAACTCCAAATAGGATGAATTTCAAATCCAGTACTCCAATTACTATGAAACTTAAAAATTACTTGTAATATCACTCAATCTAAACAAGATCAATAAAATTGTTATCATAAATTAAACTTCCTCATTCAAATCCATGCTTAAATATTTTATTGATAGACGAAGCTAATTTATGTAAAATTAATAGTTAAGGGAATTAAGTATATGACCCTTTAGCAATAAACCCATTGGATGAGTAATAAATGGTGATATGTCCAACTCTTAGGGTGCATTTGGATGGAGGGATTTCAAATCCATAATAACAAATCCCTCGAACTTGTTTGGATTGAAGAATTTGGAGATGGATTTCAAATGACTCCAAAATTGGAGTCATTTCAAATCCATTCCCCAAATCAAATCCCTCCCCAAATCCCTCCATCCAAATGGACCCTTAAATCTTTCTTTGTGATAAACCCCTATAAATATTAATTCCAATACTACCCTTCTGAAATTAGAAAATCTCCTACCCAATAATCCACCTCAATAATCCACGTCGCTTTCCTTAAATAATGCCAAAATAATAGCAATTTTTTTCCAACTCAATATTCCAATTCCTTAAAATCTGCCAACTAATTAAAAAAATAAAAAATCAGCTTAATATGCTCCATAAAATCAGCCAACAAATAAAAAAAAAATAGCTTTGTCACATACAAAATCAAAACCCACGTGCAGATGTAAAGTTTTTTTTTTTTTTTTTTTAATTATTTTTTATGTTTCATATTTTTTTAATATTTTCTTAAATTCTTTTCAACGAAAAATTGATTTTTTTTCCCGACAAGTTTACTACGCCGAATATGACTATAGTTGAATATGACTATAGTCATATTTTCTTAAATTTTTTTAAACGAAAAATTGATTTTTTTTCCCCCGACAAGTGTACTACGCCGAATATGACTATAGTTCAATAAGACTAGTCTAATATGACTATATGTGACTATATCAACTGTAGTCATATTCTTTCTTTATATTGCACTTTTTTAAATTTTTAACTTCAAAATTCCGATTATATAGTGTGGTAAAGTCATGTTTACCAAATTATATAAAACAACTA